ACAAGTAAACAACCAATATAAAATATGTATATCTATGTATGATAAACGCAAGTTTAGTGTTGCTACTCGTGTGCATAAGATAAGCTGCCGTGAGGGAGGTATGGCGTCGCATTGTGCAGCGGGTCGCCGCCACTGAATCCACCGATGACGCTGCAGTAAGTCTGCTTTTCCACCAGAGATGTGCTATGCTACGTTGCTGTGGATGCATTTGATATCCACCAATCAAATTCATTGGCCCACATCACGGAAACAAGTTCAACTGAGCTATGTTTTTTATATGGATGGATGCGTGCTATGGACGCGGGCTATGATGGCCGCGAGTAATGTAGCTATATCAAACTCACCGCGCCGCCGCCGCTCTTTCCCGCTTCCCTACTATCGATACATCGCATAGCTCGAGCTGCGCATCTAAGGCGCTTTGCAGACGGCGGGGCGGAGCGGGCCGGTCTATTTCGCCGCGAACGATAGCACAAAGTGAATCCTATACTACAAACGCACACAGAGGGCAAAAAGACCGCGCCGCAGGTGCCCGGCGGTCACTGGCGGCGCGGCATGTCCGCGGCTGCCCGCCGTGGATCATACAAACCAGTTTATATGCATTATCGCAGGCGGCGAATTATTAATTGGAAATAATGACAATAAATAAATAATTATGTACAGTGGCATTCTTTGATTTCAGACCCGCCTAAGGTTGAATATTGGACCTTTGACCAAAGATGTTGCTATCACAACGTAATATGAACTATCTAAAGTCAAACGTTTCATTACATTCAAATTAAGTCGGAAAAGACAACTGTACCCCAAACACTAACCATTATCTAATTCGAATAGTTTGCAAAACGAAACTTGAACAGAGTGAAACAGTGGTGTATTCGTAACCAAATGGAACTTAATGTAGAAAAATGAAGAAAGAAAAAGTCATTACAGTCATCTTATGATATTAGTGGAAATCTTTTACGGACGGTTGGTGTGATGAAGGATCTTGGCGTGATCATGGATAGCGAATTGCGATTTGGGGCGCATATCGATGCAGTAGTTACTAAAGCAGCACGTATGTTAGGATTTTTGAAGCGTAAGACAAAGAAATTTAAACTGGTATCTACTAAAATCGTTTTGTTTAATGCGCTAGTCCGGAGCCATCTTGAATATGCTAGTGTGGTGTGGTCTCCATTTTATGCAGTGCATTCTCAGCGAGTTGAAGGGATACAGCGTTCTTTTACAAGACACTTGGCATTCTTTTCTCAAGGCATTTCTCATAGATCTTGTTACGATCACCGTTTGAAATTTTTCAAAATGTATACCCTGCGAGACCATCGTAAAGTTCACGACATGACATTCTTATATAAAGTTGTAAACAACGGTCTCACTTGCGAAGATCTTTTATCGCGCATTGCACTTAATGTGCCACACACTGTCCCGCGATTTCCTATCACCAGACAATTTTATACTCCACGCTGTCGCACTAATATTGGTCTGTCCTCTCCAACAGTAAGAATGTGTAACGAGTACAACATGTTTAATGGTATTTCGGGCGACCTGGACATCATGCACGACTCCTTACTTTCTTTTAGATCTGGAGTGTTGAAATCACTTGCCAAATGAATTAATTTTAATTGTACCTAATGCTTATTTTGCTTAACCGATTTCATGATTTTTCGATTCACTGTATTCTTTTAATTTTAATTTGGATTTTAATTTTAATTTGGTTTTTAATTTTGATTTTAATTATAAATTTGTTCTTTTCCTTTAAAATTGTAATTGTTGACGTTGATTAAGACAATTATAAATGTTGTACATGCCTTTAATAAGTGTGCACATCAGGTACTATTATTGTGAATTTTGTATTTGTTTTTTGTATGTGTATGCTGTTGGCGTGGCTAATAAATAAATAAAAATGTCAATGTCCAATTTTGTATGGAAACTTGAACAGCAGCGGCACAAAGTACGTAACGATTTTGTCTAAAATATGATCTATTGCATTGAAAAGAAAGGTCAGGTCTCGAAGATCCGTTCAATTGATCCATATTAGCACAGTTTCCTTGAAGTTGACTATTCTTAGAAGGTCGTGAGTGCAGTAACACATTCTCTCTTCAGGAAAATTTGTCTTTTTGACATTTTAAGCGAAATATGGAGGAAATGGGTCAAGCAATTCGTTCGATAATACTTCACAATTTTTCAGTAGTTCGCACTCCTGTCAATCTCAAAAAAGTACCACATAATCTTGATCGCTCTGTACGTGACTGAACGATGAAGTTAAAAACTTTTAAATTTCGATTAATATGCGACAATTGATTTGAATAACTGAATATGCAAACAAAGTCTATAAAAAAGTCTTCACTGCGTATTTAATTATCGGAATTCGGATGATTTATATCAACAATTAATCCGGTTAATCGTTCTCACTCAAATACCTTGGTGAATTCTTTATTGATACAGAATAGTTAAAACTAGCAAACCAGTGAACCAAATGTTCACCAAAACCTGATTTAAAAAAAAATGTATTTAATTAATTGGGAACTTCGGAGATTTTGTGTGGTTTCGTTTGAAATTCGTGATTTCTCGAAAACCGGAAGTGCTACGTTACTCAAATCCGGTTTGTAGTCTTATCAGACTATTCTTAACTTATAACTTAAATATTCTCTTCATCTATCTCTTACGGTTTGGCCGCTGAAACAGCACCACAGACGGACGGACGGACTTGTCTAATAGATAAGAGATAAAGTACATAACTATCCAACTAATATCATAAATGTGTAAGTTTGTATGTCTGTGTACATATATGTATGTTTGTTTCTCAATAGCGCAAAAAAATAATGATCGATGATTTTAGTCTACTTTAGTTATTTTCATAGTGTAATGTCTTACGGTATTTTACCGTGGGGAAATGCCGCTGACATTCAACCAATATTTGTGTTGCAGAAGCAGGCTTTTCGATCAATTTATAATCTTAAAGTTAAGGACTCCTTAAGCGATAAGTTTAAAGAAATAGGCATAATGAAGGTTGCATCACAATACATGTATGAAAACTAGTGGCCCGCCCTCGCTTCGCTTCAGGGTAGAATTGATCAAAATCCTTTCTTAGTGGATGCCTACGTCATAACATCTACCTGCATGCCAAATTTCAGTGCGATCCGTCCAGTGGTTTGGGCTGTGCGTTGATAAATCACTATGTCAGTCAGTCACCTTTGAGTTTTATATATATATAAACTACGTATTTTTTGTCAAAAAAAATAGTTTATATGCTAAAAATAGTGAAATAAATACACTTAATACTAAAAGTAAAAATAAGTTAACTTTACCTATAATTTTTATTATTTTTAAAGCATGTAACTGCTTGATGTTTAAATCTAAAGAAAGTCATGGTCAGTGCATTGACCCGGATTGCGAAGGGTGCGGGTTCGAGTCCCGTCTGCTGCCTGGTCCGCGTGGAATTTTTTCTAGTTATATTTTCTAGATTTAAACATCAAGCAGTTACATGCTTTAAAAGTAATAAAAATTATTACTATAATTGCTATTTCTTCTTTGAAATGTTTAATACTTGTAAAAGTATTCATTTGACATTGTGGGTTACCTATAATGCGAAGAGATGGCGCTGCCTTGCAGCTTAAGAATGGCTAGAAGATTTTCGACGCGGTCCGTGAGGGCCGCGGTAGCATAATTGGTCAGTGCATTCGCCCGGATTGCGAAGGGTGAGGGTTCGAGTCCCGTCTGCTGCCTGGTCCGCGTGGAATTTTTTCTAGTTATATTTCCTTTAGATTTAACTTTACCTGCTACTAGGCTCCACAAAATTAATAATTCGTTTAGAGGTCTCTTGTGTTCGCTTTTACAATAAAGTCCCAAGCAATATTCAAGAGTTAAGCCTGACTAAATTTAAATCGACCATTAAAAAATCTCTTGTTCAGAAAGCTTATTATAAAGTGTCTGATTACATTACAGACAAAAATGCTTGGGTTTGAACTGGTCCAACCATTCCAACGGGTATTTCTATATCATATATATTATGAATTATGTGTTGACGATACTTCTATTGAATTTAAACGCTGTATTTAAAGTTGATTATATAAGGAAGAATATAATGTAATTATTTTCAGTGTCCTACAAATAAATGACTTCAATTTTAAGTAAATATGTTGTGCTTGATATAGGTGGTTATGGGTAGTCATGCTCTCCTAAAAATCTCTTCGGTGGTGTCGTGTGAGGCGGTTCGTTACGTTCCCTAAAATATGGTTGAGCGAAGCGATGGCTGGTTCATACGTCATGCTCGTGAACGGGTGCTGCCAGCGGAGATGAGTCTGCCCTAACTATTTTGATATTTAAGATGTGAATGTTTAATTACACCTATTATAAATAACTCTATTTGTATTAATACTGTGTGACACAGCAATCAAAATGCAGGTGAACAATTAATTTATAGTTTCACATTATGTAATGAAAGGTGACTTTATGAAGCAAGAAGCTGAAGTCATTTTTTTCAACTTGACGACTCTGTAAATGATAAAACGGAGAGAAAAAAAACAGCTCTTGCTGAGTTTCTTGCCGGTTCTAATGAGGACAGTACGAGGTCTCCCGTCGTAGAAATACGAACCGATGGCGTAGCACTGAACACAGCCTAAACTGAATAAATGATTTTGATTATGATTGATTATGATTATGATTATCGGATTTGGATGAAATTTAGTATTAATATAGTTTATGAACTGGATTGAGACATAGAATATTTTTTTCCCAAATTTTCTGCCACTGTATATTATAATATTTTTATTTTTAAGCATTTAACAGCTGGATGTTTATATCTAAAGAATATTTTGCTAGAAAAAAATTCACGCAGACCAGGCAGCAGACGAGACACGAACCCGCATCCGTCGCTATTCGGGTCAACGCACTGACCATTATGTTTAATTAATTATTGATAATTATATTGTATTATTACTGTTTATCGATTGTTATGGTATGTGCGTGCATGGATATATTAATAACTATTATAAAAAATAATAACTTACCGGTTAATCTGTACTCCCCAGTAGCATGATGAACCAGATATATGAAAACAAACAAACATATCTTCTCCATGTTCATAATCAGTTCAAACGACATTATTCTAATTAAAAAATGGAACACTATTTATAAATAAATTATTATTATTATTTTAATGTTCTATACATAATATATAATTATAAAAAAAAGTTGTTGTTTTTCGCATCAAATAGTGAAGTTAATTCTAGTTATGCGTCCTAGACGACCGTGCATTTAAATGTCCGCGCCGACTGTAACATTTAAACATTTGGCGAGTAAGTTATCACATCAAATAGGCTGTGGCGGCAGTGGTTGCGATCAGCGGAGCGGTGAGTAGTATTTACATGTTAGTCACGTACGCTAGAAGATCACCTGTCGTTCATTCCGGTCCACCACGCTATCCAATACTAACATTCAGTAAACCAATTGCTCGCACTAACATACTAACACGATCTGCATCTTATCGCTTGACGCTATAACCATTGTTTACAAGAGACTGTGTGAGAGTGTTGATATCTTTCACGAATCTTTTCTACGATTAAGGAGTTAAATTTCTCAGTTATTAAGAGATGTGCAAGCAGAATGTTTTTGTCTTTAATTTTTTTATATGTATTTCATCGTTTTCTATTGCATCACTAATTTATTCATAATTCATATCTTGTTTCACTTTTCCTTTCTGTTTGTTTTAATTAAAATGTTGTCGTTCGTCCTATTTCTTTTAAGCACGATGTGGGTGCCTTTAATGTAACTTTGCATTTTGTATGTATCACTGCTATAATCTTTATATGTAAGATTATTAATTCTGAGGATCTGATATAAATTAATAAACTAATAAATAAATTATTCGATTAGAGAGTGATCCTCTTGGTAGCGGTTTAAATAATTATTAAGGACCCTTTCCACGACTTGACACAATATTAAGGGTAACTAATATTTGAAATAACGTTGAGTTTTCTCCTAAAGAAACCCCCCCCTCATGTTGGACTAGCAGCGACATAAAAACACAAATTACACCAGCTGCTAACTTTTGATTGCGTTAACGTACCCGACATATTCGGATTCTACAGCAAGCGATAGAGAGACAACCTGTCATTTTACTTAGATCCAGTAATGGTAAATTGGTGACATTGAAGTGTGGCCATGGGATTGATTCTTACATTTCATTTTACTCTCAGGCTTGTGTTGCTCTATGTAATGTATGTCTTTATGTATGTATATATCGCTAAATCACTTTTACAAGTGACGGTGGAGTTAATCGCTGTCATTGGACCCGCACACTTTGACCGAGCCATCACAAACAGGGTCACGTTAGGACAGCATAATAGAACCTGGCCTACGTCACATAGTTGACACATGAATTTAATCCCTGTGATCAAGTGCGTAAGGATCAAAAAAATCGATAACTAGACAATAGTAAATCTTGGCAATAACATTGGTTTCTATTTTGTTGTTGTTTATACTATAAAATGTTTGTTTTCAGGTTTTTATTGGTATTGTGATGTCGAAATATTTGTTATTTATGAAGGTTCTTTATAAATATGTATTTTATAGCGATAAAGTACCACGACGCTTTGATGAAGTACATAAATGATTTTCTAAAGTGATATATTTACTGCATCTACATTACTTTTATTTTTAAAATATGGAATTATTTTTAGAAAATTAGTCATTTAAAGATAATTTTTCAACAAAAAATTCCACGCGGAGCAGACAGCAGATGGGACTCGAACCCGCACCCTTTGCTAACCGGGCGCATGCACTGACCATTTTGTTACCGCGGCCCTGATGGCCGTGTCGAATTTTCTTTAGGGTCCCGTCGCGTCTGCTGCCTGGTCCGCGTGGAACATTATCTAGTTATTTTTTTTTTACATTTTTAATTTAATATGTTGCGGTTAAATGCCTTAAAAAAATTTTAAGATAATATTAGTCATTTATTTAATGGTTTTGGTAAGCGTTCTGTTTTCAGGGCATTTGTACGTTTTTCGTCATCATGAATACTTTAAAAAATCGATTGATTATGGAGTATGAGGAGCTCGATGGCGCAGGTGGTTAGCGCGTTCGGCTGCGATCGTTGAAGTTAAGCAACTTTCGCAGTGGTCGGTCATTGGATGGGTGAGCAAATATCTCGAGTTCCTCCGTGCCTCTTAAGGCACGTTCAGCTGTTAGTATCCGCCAATCCGCACTGGACCCGCGTGGTGGGTCATGGCCCAATCTCCCAATTCCATCCATAGGGAAGGCCTGTGCCCCAGCAGTGGAGCCATTAATAGGCTGATGATGATGATGGAGTATGAGTACCGTCGTGACAGCAAAGCAGCACGCAATTCAACATCAACGCCGTATACGAAGCGAACACTACCAACGATCGCACCACCCATTATTGGTTTGCCCGCTTCCGTTATGAAATTTCGACCTACGAAATGAACCCCGCGGTGGACCGAAATCTTTAGTCGACAATGACGAATTTAAGGCGATTATCGAAGCTGATGATGCTCAATCTACAGCTGAATTAGCAGCAGCTTTCGCAGGATAGTGCGTTATAAGGCACACGTAGTCAGCAGCAATGCGAGCCCTGGAACGCGTTTTCCGTACTCAACTGTACGCAGGTATACGCTAAGCTGTATAGTATAGGTAAGCTGTATAGTATAAAAATATCTAATGTCCCAAATTATGTGTCGGATATTTTTTATTTGCATTAGTAAATCTTAGTTTACTGTCAATTCATCAGCATTGAACTTGAACTTCACTAGCTTATAGGATACAAGTAATTGTCTAAACCTGAGGATTGAGGCACTCTGTATGCATGATGAAAATCCTAGTTCGGCAGCAGATGCTAAAGATTGTCTTTTATATTATACTAGCGGCCCGCCCTCGCTTCGCTTCGGGGTAGAATTGATCAAAATCCTTTCTTAGCGGATGCCTACGTCATAACATCTACCTGCATGCCAAATTTCAGCCCGATCCGTCCAGTGGTTTGGACTGTGTGTTGATAATGTCAGTCAGTCACCTTTGAGTTTTATATATATATATTTGTTTCTTAGGTTTTCACGCACATCACTCATTAAACAAAACTACCTTTAACGGGTTAATGTACTTTTATTATTTATTAACGTTTCGCAGTCTTTTACCAGGTTTGCATCGTCAGAATAATGTTTTTTTATTTACTTTGTCGAGCTACCTTCGAAAGACTTTTATTGAGCGTTCGGATATTTCATTGGATTTTTTTTAAAACTTTGTTGTCTATGTACGAATTTATTAGCTAATTTAGTCAATAAAGTACCTTTTTTTAATATAATTTTGAGTTATTTATTTGACCCTTACTACCATAAACTACCTTGTCTTTTATATTCTTAAGCTCATGTATGGTGTCTTTAGTTATAAGACGTAATGTTACTTATCTATGCTGGTCTAAATAAATTACTGTATAAAAAAACTAAGCGTACAGAAAGCGGGAGCGACTTAATGAATTCAATCGCAAACATGAATGGAAGAATATGTGCAATAATATTGTTTGTTTGTATTCTAGTCACGACGAAACTATTTTGGAGTTTAGCATGCCGTAATTTGCCATTTAAATTGTCGATTATGTCCAGCGACACCATCCGGTCCGTAAAAAAAATACTGTAGCTATAATATTAAGTTTTTACTTAAGAATAGATTTTGATTACCTATATCAGATTTTTCTCAGATTATTTTAATAATCTATTTTTATGTAGCTTTTATGTTTTTATATATAATCGTTTCCGCTAGTAATAAAAAATGAAAAGTTGTAGAACGCGACAGGAGCGCCTCTAGCGGTTTTTATTGTAATATGAAAAATGGGATAGTGGGTTTCCCTACTTTTTATGCTATCATCACAAAATAAATAGTACATAAGGTAATCTACATGCGCTCCAGCAAAGCATATCGTTCACGGACACGACATCTCGGACCGCTAGGGACCAGTGCGAGCGCGAGTTCCATCCAATTGAGTTAAGACATGCGTCTGTGAACTCTTTTGTGCAAAAATGGAGCAACAAAAAATTTATTATAAATATTCAGTGGACCCAATTTAACATTAAATGGTGAACTGTATTTTTTTTAATTTGTATTGACATAGAAATAACGTAAAATAAATAAATTGGTACGTTATTTATTCACTTTTATATTTCCATTCTTATTGTTTCATTCTCAACAATAAATCAAACAACTACCTAGATACGTACGACTGCCACTACCACGTATTTTTGTGAACAAGCCAAAGTTGACAATAGGGTATCTGACAAGTTTTAGAAAACGATCTCACGTTATTTACTAATGTTTACAGAGTCCATAAAAAGTGGATATTCATCATTATGTTGTGTATTTCGGTAAAAAAACCAAATCAAAAACTTTACTTTCAAGTTGCCGAGAAAAACGTATCTCTGGACAATATGGCGTCTCACTGATGTGTGACGTCACACGACTGTCATTAAAACGTCAAACCATACAATCAAATGTCATTTTAACCGGAAGTTTACTTGCGTGTGACGTCATTTTAGGCTCCACCAATCCCAAGCGTTTTGGGTCACGTGACAATAGACAAGAAAACTATTATCTTTATCGCGGGTGTTTAGTAAAATTATGAATATTTTTTCTGTAAAAATAGTAAAAACTCCTGCCAATATTCATTCTAAATACAGATGCTAACAATTGGCACTTAAATGCGCCACGCCAAGCGTGGGTATAAAAAGTTTAGTCCATTCATGAGATTACCGTCAGTGCTATCTATATTTTGCTATCACTCCCATAGCGACATCGATTACTTGATGTTGGCTGTTCTTCATTTGGTCGGGTTTCATCGCCAAGTATACTCAAGGAAACAGCAAAGAGTTCACAGAAAAATAAGCAAGGTTATTGTTTTTCCATGTGAAAGAAATGAAGAACTGCCAACATTTACCCTAGCCAAGCACCCTCAGGGAAAGAGCAAAGAGATCACAGGAAAATAAGCGAGCTTTTCCTTCAAAATCTATACTAATATTATAAAGCTGCAGAGTTTGTTTGTTTGATTGTTTGTTTGTTTGAACGCGCTAATCTCTGGAACTACTGGTCCGATTTGAATGATTCTTTCAGTGTTGGGTAGTCCATTTATCGAGGAAGGCTATAGGCTATATATTTTTTTTCAAAATTAGGGATCCGTAATAAAATTGCTATTTTGTAACACAAGGTGTAAAATCGAAAACCAATTTTTGCGTGCGCTGCAAAAACTATTGACAATAGAACAAAATGATGTACTACGG